TTTATTAAAATATTATTATTATCTTAAATTTAAATTGTTGGGTTATTTGGTAAATTTTCTATGTCATAAGGATTACTTGATTAATATTCTTTATATGTATTTGATATACATTCATAATTCTAATTTTTATTTATGGGATTATTATTTATTTCTGTTTTTGTTTGTTTTTTTAAATACTTCTTTTGCAAAATTTATTGACATCTTTTTAATATATATGTTGATTTCTTTAATTAAATATAAAATTAAGAGAATTTTTTAAAAAAAAACAAAAAATATTTAAGTTTGAGTAATATTTAATATAATAATTATAAATAAAAAAACAGTCTAAAAAAATTATACTAAATGATTATATAAAAATGAAAATATATCATTAATAATTTATAAATAAATGCTATTAATATTAATGTAATAAAATAAAAAAAATTGATTAAATGTATTTAAAAATATATGTATTACCAATATTTATATTAATAATAGTAAATATAATTAAAAAATAATAAAATTAATATATATTTGTATTATATTAAAATAATGTTTATATTTTTATTTATGTATTTTAAATAATTGATAAATATTTTAAATTTATATATATATATATATATATATATGATAAATTTTCATTAAATAATTTTAATTAATCATTCTAAAAAGTTTAAATTAATTTATATAAAAATTTTTATATACAATTAAAAATATGTTTTCGATAAAAATAAAAATTAATACACATAATAATATCATATATTAAATAATTAAATATTATTATTTAAAAATTAATAATAAATAAAATATATTTTTTTTACAAATCTTTCAATATCTTACATAATGTTCTTCGTAAATTATATAATTTTATATATTTAGTTTATATTCTAAATTTGTTTTTAGTCTCAATAAAAGCGAAAGTTAGTTATTTTATATAAACTTTTTATAGTAAATTATAATGATATTATTTATTTAATTATATATATTTCATAGAAACATAATTTATTTATTTACTATTTTAAATTTAACCTTTATTCATTATAATATAATTTATAGTAAAATAGTATTTATAGTTTATATAATATATTCATTTAAATATATTATTCCTTAATAAATTTCTAGATCTATTAAAATATTATATTTGTAATTAAGTTATTTCTTTTTAGTAATTTCCTCTTGTTTAATTTCTCTTCAGATTTTCCCATTTTATCTACCAATTTTCCACTATGAAGTATATAAAGTCATTATTCTTTAAGTGTATTTTAAATATTTAAGCTATTTTATCTTGTGTTTAATTACTAAAATTTAAGCTCAATTAATCTAATTGTAAGATACTAATAATTATTTAAAATCTATATTTTTTTAAAAATAAATAAAAATTCATGGAAAAATAAAAAATCTTATTAAAATAATAATATAGATTATTATAAAGTCCATGCTTTCTGAATAAAATATCATTTTAAATAAAAATTAAACTAAGATACACACATTTATAAATCTAAAATTATATTATAAAGCTTTTGTATATTAGTATATTTTATTTTTCGTTTATATTTAAATCAACACATGTGAATTAAGAAATATTTATATAATAGTTCAATAAGTGTAAATATTTTATATTAAGTTCGTTTATTTTATAGTCTAACATTATTTAGGAAATTAAAAAAACATATATATAATTTATGTATTTGTATTAATTGAATATAAAAAAAAATAACTTTAATATATGACAAAAAATACATGAATAAATTGGATTATTTTATTACAAAATAAAAAATATGTAGATAAAGATTTTATAAAAAAATAATAATTTATTCTTAAGTAAATAAAAAAAAAATCATGGAAGACAATAATTTTTAAAATTTTATATTCAATTAAAAATTTTAAAAAAAAAAAATTAAATTTTTTTTAAATAAAAATTAAATATATTCTATTTTTGAATTTATTATATATAAGAAAAAAATGTATATAAATAAATATTATATATATATATATATATATATTTATTATTTTTTTATACATAAATTATAATATAATAATTATATATAATTAATTATTTTTAATATTTATAAATATGTATTTTATTTTTTCATATATACCTATATTAGTATGTATATTTTCATATTTTTTCGAATAAAAATATAAAATGTTATAATTAAAATTATTTTTTTTAAAGTGTTTTTATTTATTTATTTAATAATTAATGAATTTTGTTTGTTTGTTTGTCTATTTATTTCTTTTTATTATTTTTTTTAATATACATAATCATTCTAAATATTTATTTATTTTTTTCTCTTTAAATTATAAAAATCTATTTTTTTATTTATATGAAATCTTTAGATTTTTATAAAATCAATTTTTATTTTTAATTTTGTTTATTTTTTTTATTCTGTAATTTTTTAAAAACATAATCAAAAAAAGAAGTCAATTTGTATTTATTTGAGATTATGTCAATTATTATTAAGTTTAAATATTATTTTGTAATATATATTTAACAATATATATGTATGTTTAATTTATTTTTATTTTTTTGTATGTAATACATAATTTGTTAATATAATAATTTACTTAATTAATAATTTATATTGAACTTATTTTTTAAATTTTCTTTTATTATTAGCTTATTATATATGACTCATTAAAATATTTTTGTAAAAATATAAAAATTAAAAATTTAAAATTAAAATTAATCTAAATATAGTTTTAAATATTTTTAAAATGATAATTATTTATTGCTCTTAAAAATTATTAATTTTTTAACGATATTTCTTTTATAAATATTATTCACTTTGAAATTTATAATCATAAACATAATATTATTTATAATATTTAAAAAAAAAAAACTTTATCCCGTTTATAAATTAAAAAATAAAATAGCATTTAAATGAGTATGTATATATATATATATATAAATTAGATTAATATTATATTTTAAATTAAAATTTAGATTATTTTTTTATATGCTTATTTTAATTTATTTAAAAAAAAATAATTATTATTTTAAAAATTAATGAATAATTTTGAAAAAAAAAAATGAATTTAAATAATAACATTTAAAATATTAATTTTTAAAATATTAATTAAGAAATATTTAATTTTTCAGAAGATGCTTTTATTAAAGAAGCAGGAACTTATAGGAAAAAAATGATTTAAAATTTTTAATAAAAATTAAACTCAAAAAAAAAAATAGTAATAATAACCACTAAAATTTATAAAATGCATAAAATTAAATTGATTAAGAAAATTAGAATAAATAATAAGATTGAAGAAATAATTTTCATTATAATATAGAAAATAGTATATTTGAATTTTTTTTTATGATTAAAAATTGATGAATGTGCATAGATTTTAAAAAATAATAATTTATATATAAATAAATTTTCCAATTTTTTTTTTTTTTTTAATCAAAAAAAAATAAAAAAAATATTAATATTATATGTTAATTATTTTTACTTAATAATTATGTATTTATTTATTTTTATAAAATAGTTTACATTTCTTTTTTTTTTAAAAAAAAAAAAATTATTCTAAAAATATATATATGTTTTTATTTAAAAAGTATAATAACAGAAAAATACGAAATATTCAAACGATTATTTAATTTATGTTGGTATTAAATTCAATTTTTATATATATAAATTTATTAATAAAGTAAAAATAAATCAATTAAATATAAATTTAATTTAATTTTTAAAAATTAAATTTAAAAAATAATAACTATATAAATATATATACATATATATATATATATATTTACATATATATACAAACATATTATTAAAAAAAATAAAACTATTTAATTATATAATAAAGTCTATTAATTTAACCCTAATTTTTATATATTATTTAAATAATGAAAACTTTGAAATTTTAATAAAAATTAAATTTATAGAATTATTTATCAAAAAGTATTAAATTTAAAGTATATTTTATATGCAAATTTATATTTATTTTAAATTTAGAATTAAAACAGTTAAAAATATTTAAAAATAATAAAAAAATTTAATTAAATATTAAAAATATATTTAAAACATTTTTAAAAAAAAATGACAAATTTAGAATTAATTATATAGAAAAATTATTATTTTTAAATTTAAAATATTTTTTTTTTTTATAAATATAATATTATAATTATAATTACTATATTTTATATTTTTTTTTTAAAAAAATAATAATAATTATTATATTATTTTATAACTTAAATTTTAATTAAAATATATAATTTTATTTTTATATATTATAAATATATTTAATAGTAAATATATATATATATATATTTATTTTTTTATTAAAAATATATATCATTAATATTTATAATTTTATAAAGACAATATAATTCGCGTAATAATATTTTTTTATTTTTTATATTTTTATTTATATTATTTTCAATAATGTTTTAATTTTTTTTTTGTTTAATTAATTAATTTATAATAAATTAAAATTTCTATTATTCATAAAATAAAAATAAAAAACATTATATATAAAATAAAAAAATGAATGATATATATATAGAATTAAAAGAATTAGCAATAAAAAATAATATTACATTTTCATAATAATCTTCTATAAGAAATTCAATATAAGACATAGATAAAGATTTTTAAAAAACAATAAATGAAACATAATAAACAATTGAACTTATAAATATAAATAATGAATAAATAGAAGAATTAAAATAAGAATTAATAGATACAGCATCAACATCTAAAGAAAAATGTAAATAATAATAATAATAATAATAATAACAAAATTATATTAATTAAAATATATATATATATATATATATAAAAAATAGAAATAAATTTGAAAATATAAGAACTTGCAAGCGATAATTTAAGAAATTCAAATAAAATAAAATAATTAATGAAAGAAATAGAAAATCAAATAAATATAAGCGAAAAAGAAAATCCAGTGTGTATATAAAATATGATTATATAATAATAAATAAATATTAATTAATTTTTTCTATTTTTTTTTTTTTTAAAAATAAAAAAAAGAATGAACCAGAAACTTAAGCAAAAATGTTTTAATTAAAAGCAGTTTAAAATGAAATTAAACATTGTCTTAATAAAACACAAAATATACACTCTGAATATAAAAAAGCAGCTAATGAAAAGATTAAACGTTAAGTTTAAATACTAAATCCGAATATAACAGAAACTGAATAAAGATAAATTCTAGAAGATCCATAAGGTATGGATAAATTAATGATGAAATAAATGATGGGATAATCAAGTGTTTAATTATAATATGCTTATTAGGATATTAAAGAAAAATATGAAGGGATTAAAAAATTAGAATAGGTATATTTTTTTTTGAATTTTAAAGAATTTATTTAAAAAAAAGAGTTATTAATAAGTTTTTTAAATGCTTAATGATATTGCAGTTTTAGTAAAAACATAAGGAGATATGATTGATGATATTGAAATAAATTTAAAAAATACATAGAATTATGTTAAAAAAGCAAACAAAAATTTAGAAGTGATGAAAAAAGAACATAATAAAGGTAGAAAAAAACTATGTTGTATTATTTTTCTTGGATTAGGACTTTTAGGATTAATTTTAACTCCTTTTATTATGAAAGCTACTTGATTATATATATATATATATAATATAATATATATATATATATATATTTATTAATATATATATATTTTTTATTTATATTTATTTTTTATTTTTTATTTTATCTAAATAAAAAAAATAAAAAAAGTTTCATCTTTTTTATAAAATTTTATAATAGTTTTTTTTATAAGATATTTTAATTAAATATTAAAAATAAAAATTTCTAATAAAATATATATAGAAAATTAAATATATTTTTAAATATCAATAAAAAACAAATATTATAATATAATTATTCATAAAATATATTTTTTTAAAAATAATAGAAATCATTATCAAAAACAAATTTAAAATAAAAATAAAAAATGCATAAAATTGTCGAAATACCACATTAATCCATTATTACAAATATACCTGAAAATATTGATTTAGGTTTTTGTTGTGTAGACTAACCTACATATATAAAATATAAACTACATAACCCGAACCCATATGCAGTCGAATATAATTTTGAATTTAAAGATTTTGAAATAAATCCATCAGAAGGTATTTTATACCCTAAATAAGATTAAGCAATTACATTAAAATATACACCAAAAGAAGCCACGGCTATAATAGGTAATATTATAATGAATATTTCTTTAGAAGAAAGTCGTATAATTAAAGTCTCTGGAATTGGAAAATATCCTTTTATTTAATTAAGTAGTTCAAAAATAGACTTTGAATAAATTTTAGTAGGAAAAAAAGAAAGTAGAGATTTAACAATAAAGAATTAGTCTGAAGTTGAGGTTTTTTTTGTTATTAAGAAAATATAAGAAGATGAATTTAAAGACTAGTCTCTAAAACTTGATATTTTGGAAGGTTTTATACCACCAAAAAGCTCTTTTTTAATAAAAGCAATTTTTACACCAAAAATAGTAGGACTTCTTTCTGTATAAAATTATAAATTAGAAAGTCCTGGAGGTATTGAGTTACTTTTTACTTGTTAAGGGTATGCTAAAGGATTCGAGGTTTCATTAAGTAGTGAAAAGTTAGACTTCGGAGAAGTTAAAATAGGAGAGGAAAGTAATAGATTATTAATTATTAGTAATGAATCAGAACTTGATACTAAATTTTAGTTCAGTAATGATCCAGGGAATATATTTTCGTTTAGTAAGGTTAGAGGGGTGGTTAAAGGAATGTCGAAAAGTAGAATTATAGTCAGATTTAAACCTTAATAGAGGATTAATTACTATGAGAGAGTTTTTTGTATTGTTAGAAACCATAAAATTATTAAAGTCGATTTAATAGGAAATTGCTTCGATTTATTAGAAAAACCAATGCCTTTGAAAATTTAGCATATACAAAATTTCAGATAAACTGTAATAAAGGGACATTTATCAGAAATTTCGTTAAAATATGTTGAAAACTCATTTCTTTTGAAATATTTTTAATAAAAAAATCAAAAACTTTAAAAAAATGAGACTAGTTAAAATTCAGTATAGACTGAATAGTCTTTTAATTAGAAAAATTTATTTTAGGAAGATGAAATTATTAACTAATAAGAAGAAAATAACTAAATTGTATTACATAAAGAAATGTTTCTATAGGCTAATTCGAATAATAGATTGATTGTTTTGAGTGAGGATTTTCTAGATTTTGGGTTTTAGGAAACTATGACTTTCTCAGGGAATAAATAGGTTATTGTTAATAATAAATTATAGTGTAAAATGACTATTTAATGGACTCATTAGATATTTTTATCAGTCAAAGAGGGTATTGAGTTGCCTGTATTTTGCGTAGAACCGGAAATTGCACATTTATAAAGCGGAGGAAGTTAGGCTTTCGAGATTTCGTTTAGACCAGTGAATAGTGGATGTTATTATTTTTAAATTTTGTAATTTTTTGCTTATAAGTATTCTTCGAAAAAATAAAATGACATGATTAAAACTTTATAAAAAAATATGTCATTATAAACTGAAAAAGAAAATTTAAAAATAAGTAATTGTTCAATTATTAAAAAATGTAAAATAAATAAATATTTATAAATTTATAATTTTTTATTTATATAAAAAGAATCAAAAGTACCTTAAATTATATAAAATTAAAGAATACCACCTTATTGTGGATATCTAAAATGTTTTGGTCATTCTTTTGGAGTGTAAATTTAACCTTTTATACCTATAGTGAAATTTTCTCCATTGAATATAATTTATTTTAAAGCATGTTCATTATAAGATTCTACTTATTAAACAATAGAATTAATTAATTAAGTATATATATATATTATTTAGTATTTATATACATTTAAATTTTATATTTTAACATTTATTTATTTTTAGTCTGATACACCTACTTATTTTAAATTTTAATAAGACAAAAATAATGTCTATCGTTTTTTTCCTAATTGTGGTATTATATAAGATAAGTTTTTTTAAATTATAACTATAGAGTTTGTTCCTAATTAATATAAGGCATATAATAATACTATAAATTGTTATTTAAATAATGATATTTCTTCTTCTTTGCCATTGCATTTACATGGTTATTGTTCTTAACCAAAATTAATATTATAAAATGAAGGAAAAGTATACTTCCCTCCTTCATATATAAATGTTTATTCATAATAAACATTAAAAATAAATAATTTATCAAGAATAAAACTAAACTATGAGATAAGCATTCCCGAAAAATACTCCCTTGAAGTTCAAATAGAGCCCTAAAAAGGTTTTATAGAACCTAATGATTAAATAAATATTAATATAACATTTATCCCTTAAAAAAAGAAAAACTATAGAATAAAAATCCCTTTAATTTGTCAAGAAGTTATTTTAGAAGAGCAAAATCTAATTGGTTTTCATGACCCAGGTTCTTTATTTTCATACGTACATAGACCAAGTTTCGAAATAAGGAATGAAATAGAGATATTCGGGGCAGGAGGGGATGGAGCCTTGAGTGTAAATCCTAATATACTATAATTTGATATTGTAAAAGTAAATTTTAGAGATAAGAAATATTTCTGTTTATCTAATTTTTCTAATTGTACATTTTTTATTGAATTAAAATTAAGGAAAAATAATAAAAATATAAACTTAAATTAAAATAATTAAAGTTTAAATGAAGAAAATGAATATGATGATGATTAAATGGATTTTTAAAAGGATTTTACTTTGGATTTCTAAAATAGTATTATTGCAGCAAATTCTAAAATTGACATAGGTATTATTTTCAATCCAAATCAAGTTCGGGAATATGATTTGATTTTGGAAGTTTTAGCTAAAGAAAAATTACCTTAGGGGAAAAAAATAGCTTTTAATAATAATAATATCCTATAGTTTAAAAATCATAATTGTAAATATTAGCTAAAGGTTCTTATCCATTATTAAAAATTGTAGATGTGAGAAATGATGCGATATCTGTAGCAACACTTTGGGAGAATTTCTAAATTAATAAAATAAATAAAGAATTATAAACTGAATTAAACGAGGATGAAAATTAATTCCTAAATATAGAATAATTAAATTACGAATAAGCAGTTTCTTTATAAAAAAGAATTAAATAATTTGAATGGAATTTTGGTTATTTACCTTCCAAAACAGCAAATAAACCACGAAAAATAGTCATTACAATATAAAATATAGGCGGAACAGACCTCGATTGGAATTTTAAACTACCTTCTGATAATTAAATGTAGATAGAACCATGGGCAGATCCAGGTGAACCTGATTAAGAAGAAGCTTTTGAACGTTAAATTTTTGAAAGGAAAATATTTTAAATAATACCCAAAAGCGGTTAATTAAAAAAGGGATAATTAAAAGATGTAGAATTAATTTATAATCCAAATAGTAAATAGCAAGATGATAATCCTTTCAAAAGTAAAAATGATAAAAATTTAAATGGATAAAAACACTCTTTAAGGGTTGTTTTGTAAATTATGAATGGAAAACCTTTGTAAATAAATTTAAAAGGAATGTCTTTAGCACCATTAGAAGGACTTTTGGCTGTTAAAAAAAATCAGTTTGAATTACCAGATACTCCAATAGGATTACTTATTCCAGTTAAATTCCCGATAGAAATTGCTAATTTGGGTTCTATAAAAGTTTCTTATAAAGTAGAAATCGAAGAACAGGATTGTGATTAAAATATAATAAAAAATGATTCTAGATTTACAGCATTTTTATTAGAAAAAAGTTAAGATACACTACTGCCGAATGAAAAATCATACCTATATTGTCTTTTTAAACCTTTAGAGTAAAAGGGGTATTATTATAAATTGAAAATAATTGTTTTTGACATGGTTAAAATTACATAAGAAATAATCATTTTTATAAAAGGATAAGGATTTTTAAATTTACCGCCAGTTAAAAATCAACTTAACGCAGAGGAAATTCCAAGATAAAGATCTTCAGTGTCTACTATAGGTAGTAAAGTATTTTTTTCGATTGAAGAAATAGATTTCGGATATATGAAACCAGGAAAAGAGTCTTATAGGTTTATTATACTTTATAATCTTAATGAAAACTAAAAGCTTAACTTTGATTTCGGATCTTCAAGTTTTGCATTGACATAAAATAAACCAGGATTAATGTGGTAAATATCTATAAAAAAATACAAAAAATAATAACATAATATTTATAAATAAACATATAAAATTAAATATATGTATATATGTATATATTTATATATGTATATATACAAATTAATTTATAATGATTTATAAATATATATTTATAATATATATTTATATTTATATTTATAAATATTTATATAAATATTTTTAAATATTTATATAGCGGAGATAAATGTATTATTGAACCTATCTAAGGAGTTTTAGAGCCTAAATCTTTTATCGAATTAAAACTTGCTTTAGCTTGTTCTTATGATCCCTCTGTTTATGAAGGTGAATTAGAATGTACAATTAATTGGGATTTAGATAAAAATAATTAATAATAATTTTTAAAAAATTCTATTGTTAGTACATTTAATAAAAATAATAATAATAATAATAATAATAATAATAATTAATCTAATAATAATACTTTATAAAAAGAAACTTTATTTTTAAGAATAAAGAAAAAATCGTTACTTAATGTAAATTTAATAAATAATTATATTAATTAATCGTCTATAGAAAATACATAGTAATATTAATAAAAAACTATAGAAGAACTTTTTTAAGGAAAAAATTTAAAATAAAAACACGCTTTTGAACTTATAATAGAAAAAGCTTTGAATGAGATTTTAAATGAATCAAATACTGAAAGAATTATAGGAAGAATAGATAATTAGCCTATAGGATTTTTTAAATATTTTGATGATGAAAATTCTGTTAGTATTAGTATATCAACAGTTTAAAAAAACTAAGAAATTATAAAAAATGATTTAATGTAATAATTAGAATATTAATAATAATAATAATAATAATAATAATAATAATAATATTAATAATAATAAGTTTCTAATCAATGGAATGATTTTAGGTATTTGTTTTTATAATAAGAATTTGTTGATTTAGTCGATCTTATTATGGAAAATACATTCTTTAATATTATTTAAGAAACTACTAGAAAAGAATGTGATTTATTGAAAATTTCGAAAACTTTTGTTATGCCTTTATGATTTTCAAAATTTTTTTTTTTAATATTTTATATATTATTATTTAATAATTTAGTTTTTTTTTATATTATTAATAAATACATGTAATTATATGTAATATATTTTTTTATATATACTCTATCTTATATATATTTTTATTTTTTTTTAAAAAAAATTTGTAAAAATTTAAAATGATTTTCTTTAAAATATATAACTATGTTTTATTTAATTTATTTTTTAAAAAATAAAAGAAAAAAAATATTAAATAAATAAGGTTAATAATTAATTTTATATAATAATAGTAAATAAATAAATATATAAATATTTAAATATAAATATTTATATATAAATATTTATATATATATTTATATATATATAAATACTCATAATTTTTTAAAAAATAGATCTTTCCAAATATATATCGATTAAAAGAAAATTAATATAATAAAAAAAATATATATATATTTTCATTAAATGAGAAATAATAATATTTAACCTTTTATGAGTGACACAGATCCTCGTAACCCATACGGTTACAATTATGAAGAATTCGAATATGAAAGTAAAGTGTTTTATAAATACTAACAAATAAAGAAATATATACATTTTATACCAGAAGATTAAGAAAAAGTAACAAATGCTAATTTCATATATATAGGAGGAATGTTTCTTGCTACTTTATGTTCTTTAGGATCTGGCTATTTAATAAGGAGTTCATATATATTCAAGAATAAGATTATTTTTTTGCATAAATTTATATAAGAATATCCTAAAATATATTATGGAATTATTTGTGCCACAAGTGGTTCTTAGTCTTATTATTATTTTAATAGTTATTATATAAATAATATTTGTAAACCTTTTATGGTTAAATATTTATAAGAAGCTAAATAAAATGGATTCGAAGATTATAAAATATCTGATACTGTTTATATTGATTTTGAAAAAAAAATTTTTGGGAAAAAATAAAATAAATGAATTTGAAAAAAAAAAAAAAAAAAAAAAAAAAATTAGTTTAAGTTTAAACTTATTTTTAAATAATCTTTATATATACATAAATATATATATAATTTTTTAATTCTAAATTAATTAATTTTTATTAAATAATATCTTATATTTATTTTATATATTTTTGTTTAAATTATATATATTATTTATTATTTATTAGTATAATTTTTTATATTTTTTAAAAATAAATTAATATATAAATATATTTATGCTTAATGATATAAATATATTTATAAATTTATAATAAATATAATAATTGAATATTTTTTGTAAATTATCTTGTAATAAATTAGTAAATTTGTATATAGATTTTATAAATAAATCTAATTATTGAAGCAATAAAATAAAGAGTAATTAATCAATTAAAATTAAATTTAGAGTAAAAAAAATATAGGTAAATAAAATCAAAATATGTGAATAAATATAAATAAAAAATTATATATAAATGTATATATAGATATAAATATATTTTAATATATATTTAAATATATATATATTTATTTTATATTTAAAATAAACATAAATATTAAAAATGTAAATCAATAATATTTAATAATTATACATTTTTTTTTTTTATTAATATAATTATATATATATATATATATATTTATTTTATTAATTAACTTATTAAAAATTATAATTAATTATTATACTTTATATTCTAAAATTTCAATTTAAAAATGAAATAATTATCAAATATTTTTTTTTTATATTTAATATTCTTATTATATATAAAAAAATAAATATTTCTTATAAAAATATGAAATATTTTTCTTTTCAAAGTTTTTTTATATTTCTTATTATTTATTATTTAAAAAGTTAAAGAAAAATTAAAAAGATAAATAAAATTTAGTATATATTAAAACATATTTTAATAATATTTCAAATATAGAATATTAGATAATTTAAAAAATACAAATATATTATAACAATTTAAATATATAATAATATAAAGCCTTAAAAATACTATAAAATATTATAAATAATTGTTAAAAATTTATATTTTTTAAGACAATTTTTTTATTTTATAAAAAATAATTTTTTTTTAATTAAATTAATATATATTGATATTAATACTTAATTTATATTAAAATATATATTTAAAAAAAAATTATTTTACTAAAAATATCATTTTAAAAAAAAATAAGAAAAAAAAAAAAATAGTTATTTTTAAAAAATTTAATAAAAATAAATAATTAAAAATATAAAAACATGAATTTAAATTTCATTTTTTATATTCTCATTAAAAATATAGTTATACAAATGTTGTTTAAGAAGATATAAATTTTATATAAAAAATAGAAAAATACAAATCTTAACAAATGAAAAATTTATTAAAATACAAAAGTCGAATAAACCATGAAAGGACAATAAATTTATATTTCAAGCATAATTTAAGTCCTGATGGAAAATAATTAAATATGTGTAAATATTTTAGATACAGAAAAACTACAAAAGGTAATTATTCTCTTCATTTAATAAAATTAGCAATGATGTTATATACAGAAAAAGAAATAAAGTTAAAATATAAAAAATATTTAAATGTTTAATTTACTGATTTAATAGAAATAGAAAAATAAAAAGCTATATAAAATCTTAGTATTAAAAAAGCATTATTAAAATAAACTAAAATTAAATTAGTAATAATAATAATAATAATATTAATAATAATATTAATTAGAAGTATAAGAAGAATTAAAAATTGAAAAATAATTCTAATCTGTATATTTATCCAGATAATAATCATATTTAATTGACCTTTATTATTATTTCCTTTATATACATAATATTGATTTTTTAAATTTAAATTAAATATAAGCAGAACATTTTGATTTATTATGTTAAGACGTTAAAGATTTCTTACATTTATACATCTTTAAGGATAAATAGGAATTAATAGATATTTTTTAAAAATTAGAAAAAGATATAGATTTGTAAGATATTATAGATATGGCAAATTATATATAAAAAATAAGTAAAAAAAGCCGTGAATAATATGATAAAATATATTAAGAGAAAATTAAAGAATATTAATAATGAAAATATAATAATAAAGTATATTAAATTTAAAAAATATTAAATTATTTTTTATTTAAAAATTTAAAGCAATTTTTTTTTTTAATTTATTTAAATATAAAATCTTTTTTTTATTATTAAATAATTTAAAAAATATTGTTATATTTAATATAAAAAAAATTATAATTTATAAATAAAAATTCTAAAAATTGTTATATTAATTTCTTCGATTATTTAAATAATTAAATTTTTTATAAAATATCAATATTTCTATTATTTTCATAATATATTAAATCTCTAAGATATATATATGTTTTTATTATTGTATTTGTAAAATTTATTAAAATATAACTCAATTATTTAAAAAATTTATTAAATAAATAATAAATAATATTCATAAAATAAAAAATTATTTATTTTTTTAAAATATAGATAATTTAATAATCTGAATTTAAATATATAAATAAAAATAAAACTTTAAATAGAAAAATAAAATATTTATTAAATATTATATATTAAAATATATTTTTTGTATATATATTATACTAAAAATAATAATAATTTTAAAACATTAAACATATGTATTATACCTTGAATAATTTCTTTTTAAAATACTTTTATTAATATTTTAAATATAAATAATAACATTTATTTTTAATTATTAAATTTAAATAAATTTATTTAAAATCAAAAAAAAAAATTAAATTAGATTTTAATGTTAATTAATATATATATATATATATATATATATATTTTTATATATAAATATATATATATATATATATATATATTTACATTTTGTTTAATATATACTTTATATTTTCTATTTTTTTATTATTTTTTCTTAATTTAATAATTTTTTTTATATATTAAACTTATATATTTTTTATTTTTATTTTAACTAAAATATACCTATTAACTTTTTAAATTTATATTTTTTTTTTTTTTGGTTTTTTAAATTTCTATTTATGTATGCATATCATGAGTTTTATATTACATTATTATTTTCTTAATCATTAATATTTCAATTTATTTTTGAATATTTATATATATTTTCTAAATCATCATTTATAATATATATAGTACTTTATTTTTATACAAACCTATAAAAAAATAATCTTGCTTTATATTTCTATATAATTTTTAAGGTACGATTACCTTTAAATCTTATTTTTATAAAATTTTATTTTAATTAAAAATTATTATAAACTAATTAAATTATTAATATTTATATTTTGATGAAATTCTTAAGAGAATTTTTTAAAAGATTTAATATTATTATATTACATCCTTATTTTATTAACCATACCTATATAATTTTCAAATTCCAAATTTTTTTAATATTATTTAAAAATTAATATAATGAATTTTATTTAAAAAGATTTTTATATTCAAATAAAAGTAAAATGTTATTTACTTTTACAATTTTTCTGTTAAATTACTAGTTTTTCTGCTGCTATCTATTTTTTTTCATTATGTTTGTTATTTTTTTGTTTTAGTTTCAATAAATATATATTAATTATTACCTTATTTATTTATTTATTTATAAATAAAGCCTAAATAAATATCTCCAAAACATCATAATGATAATTTTCAAACTATTTAATGTTTCCCATTTATTAGTTTGTTTTTTATATTTCCCATATTATTTTTTTATTTATAATTTTGTTAAATAATTTATTATTTTTTGTAAACTAATTTGGATATAATTTTTCAAAAAAAAAATATTCATTTTTATATATAAATTTAAATATAGAGACATGTTAAATATTATTTATTATAAAAATTTTAAAACTAATCAATATTTAAAAAAACAAAATAATATCCGAAAAAAAAAAAAAAAAACAATATGAAAAAAAAAAATATTATAATACTAATACCTTCATTAATATTCTTTATAATCCTAATATTTTTTATTATAAAAAACCCTTATATTGACACTGAAAATGACATTTCCCTTTTCTATTTACGTACAAAAGAGTCTAAAAAAATGGAGAATCCAAAAAAATGTATTCACGATAAAATTCTTAAAATGGAAACTTCACTTTTCCAACCAATATAACATTACGATCCATTTTTTAAATTTTCAGAAGATTAAGAATGGTATCCATTTAAAATGCATTTTGATTATTCTAATAATAATAAAACATCTAGACATTTATTATAAATTCTCCAAACTTAAGTAATTCCTGCAGTTGGTGCATATTTTGAGCAAGCCTTGAAAGTTCAAAAATTCAAAAGTAGAATTTTTATAGATGATTTTTACCTTAAGAAAACTTGTGGAATTCCCAAATTAAAAATTCCATAAAAACATATAAAAAAAGGTGTAGAAGCGGACTCTATTTTCTACATAACACTTTTAAATGAGCCTTTCAATAATTATATAGCTTATGCGAGTATTTGTCCTTAAGGAAAAGGCTTTGGATTTCCCAACGGAAGGCCTACAGTGGGTTATTTTGCAATAAATGAGTATTATTTTCAAAAAGATATTGATAGATTAGTATAGGATCCTACTTTGATTAATTAATGGATTTGGACTACTTTACATGAAATCACACATTCTTTGGTATTCTCACCTCATAATTTTAAGAGGTTTATTAGAGAAAAAAATCCTATGAAATAATTCGAAGATGGGAGATTTTATATAATTGCACCTTCAGTTCTTGAATATGCGAAAAAATATTTCAATTGTGAATAAATGAAAGGAGTTCCTTTAGAAGATGAAGTTAATATATTATTTTTTATTAATTTGTATATATATATATATATATATATATATATATATATATATATATATATATATATATATATATATATATATATATATATAAAAGGGAGGTGAAGGTACTGAGAAAGGACACTGGGATAGAAAAACATTCGGAAATGAGGTAATGACTGGAAGTTCTACATATGATAATGTTTTTACGAAATTTACTTTATTGATTTTTTATGCTTCTGGTTGGTATGATGTTGAATGGAGTTAATCTTAATAACTTACATGGGGATATGGGGAAGGGTGTAAGTTTCTAAGTCAAAAATGTGATTATAATTCAAAGGAATTCTGTGATTTAAATGATGGTGATACGGGTTTGAAGTGTACTTATGATTATGTAGGTATAGGGAATTGTCATGAGGATTAATTGGCGAATTCTTGTGGATATTTTAAATCTCGTGTAGGTAAAAATTGTAATTATCCGTCTAAATATATGGCGAAAAAATGGATATAGGAAGGAGGAAGCTTTGGAAAAAATACCAGATGCTTCTAGACTTCAAAAGATAAGTAAAATTTAGGAATTTGCTTTGAAAGTAAATGTGATTTTGATAATAAATTTGTGTATTTTAAAGCTTTTAATTAGTGGTATAAATGTGAAAAAGATGGATAGGTTTTAAAAGTTAATGGGGTAGAAATTAGTTGCCCGTAATACTTTAGGTTTTGTTATAGTGAAAGTAGTTGTCCGAATTCTTGTTCAGCTAAAGGAAAATGTATAAAAGGAAAATGCTTGTGTTTTGATGGATTTAAAGGCGATGATTGTTCTAAGATTTGATCTTTAAGTATATTGTATCCATATATGAATAATTATTTACTATTTTTTTTTTTATAAGAAAATGTATTAATTAAAAAAAAATTTAAATAATAAATTAAAGTTATTTAAAAATATATATATATAAATTTTAGATATTTATTATATTTAGTAATTTAAAAATACTAAAGATTTATTTTTTATGTTAAAAAAATTATAGATTAAAAAAATATACTGTTTTTTCGTTTTATATTATTATATATTTATAATAACCTTTAATTTATTTCATTTTTAAGATTTTACAATTATTTTTTTATCTTAATAATTTGAATTTTTGTTTCTTTATAAAATTATTTTATTTTTATTAAATGATCAATAAATCTATTTTAAGTTTTATTTTTATAATAATTTTAAATTTATTTATTTTATAAATAAATATATAGTAATAATTAAATTCTATGATTAAAAATTAATTTAAAAAAAAAAAAATGTAAATGAAAATTTTATAATAAACTTATTTTATAAAGTGTATAATATACATATATATAAAGTTATTCTTATTTAATATAATTATTTGATAATATTTAGATAAATTTAATATAAATTATTATTAAAAATAAAAATGAAAATACTAATTAAATTATAAAAAATGTATACCGAAAAATTTATAAAACAACAAAAACAAAATTCAAACTTTTATAGTAAAATTTTGTAATTTAAATTAAAAAATCGATTAAATATTAAGTTTTAAAAATAGATGTTATATAATATATTTATAATAATCTACTTTATATTTCAATGCAATATAAGTCTATAAAAATTTCATAAATCGAATTTTAAAAAAAACTAAATTGAAAAAATAAAAAGAAATTCTTTATTTATAGGAATTTAAATATATTTCTTTTAAAAAAACTATATAATTAAATGATATTTTTAAAAATATAAAAAAAAAAAAATTATTAATTTATTAATTTATTTGAATAGAGAAATGTTTCTTAATGTAAAATAAAAAAGAAATAAAAAAAAATGATATAAAAATCTAATATAAATTTTATTTAATATTAAGAAAAAAAAAAAAATTAGTAATCATTATATTATAAAGGTTAAAGAAATATAAAAAAATTATAAATTATATATTATTATATATTTTATATATAATTTATAAATTATTACCTATTTTAAACATAAAATTAATATTGATATATAAATCTATAATAAAAATAATATTTTTATATTAAAAAATAATAAAAAAATAACAAAAAAAGTAAAAATTTTATTTAATTTGAATTGAGTTTGAATATTTATATAATAAATATATATAAATATATATATATATATATATATATATATTTATGTTTATATATAT